TCTTAACTTTTATAAAGAATATCTCTTTGGATTTGAGACTTTAGTCTTCGCAAATTTACAGATCTTCTTTATGCACCAAGAGCTTGTAACACTCCAAAGAAAAAGGAACAATTGAAATCGCATCATATGACCCCTTTAATGTTTCTAGTAATAATGAGGGATTCATAAAACGCAGAATAAAAACTTAAAATTCACTAAACATTCGAGGGCAACCTTACATTCCATGTTGTATATTCAGCGTTCCAGCAGAAGCTCTCTGGTTCAGTGTGATTGTGTGGCTCTGAAAAGAGCCTTTGGGGGTCCTGCGCTGCTGCAGCGGCGGGTTAAGCGCGCTCTCCGCGGATGCGGCGGGCCAGCTGGATGTCTTTGGGCATGATGGTGACTCTCTTGGCGTGGATGGCGCACAGGTTGGTGTCCTCAAACAGACCGACCAGATAAGCCTCGCTGGCCTCCTGCAGGGCCATGACAGCGGAGCTCTGGAAGCGCAGGTCCGTCTTGAAGTCCTGAGCGATCTCTCGCACCAGACGCTGGAAAGGCAGTTTGCGGATCAGCAGCTCGGTGGACTTCTGATAGCGGCGGATCTCTCGGAGAGCCACGGTCCCGGGCCTGTAACGGTGGGGCTTCTTGACGCCGCCGGTGGCCGGGGCGCTCTTCCGGGCGGCTTTAGTAGCGAGCTGGTTCCTCGGGGCTTTGCCGCCGGTGGACTTACGAGCCGTCTGCTTGGTTCTTGCCATCGCTGCAGTCTGACTTCTTTTAATCTTCGAGCCGAAAGTAACAATCTCTGCAACACAGCTGCTTTTAAAGCGTCTCAGGATGGCGTCACGAGGGTGCAGAGGCTTGTGATTGGCTGATGTGTGACGTCTGCACACGACTGCCAGCCAATGACTGCGTGACTCCTGTTTTCAAACGTGTCTGTTTGTGTCTGTGTCTCCCGCTTAAAATGCTTTGTTCTGTTTATTACGCTGCGTTCTGACTTCTTTCAGTCTTCGAGCGGTGAAAGTAACAATCGCTGCAACACGGCTGCTTTTAAAGCGTCTCAGGATGGCGTCAGGGTGCAGGAGCTTGTGATTGGCTGATGTGTGACGTCTGCACACGACTGCCAGCCAATGACTGCGCGACTCCTGTTTTCAAACGGGGCTGTTTGTTTCCCGCTCAAAATGCTTTGTTGTGTTTATTACTTTATGTATCTAACAAACACTCTACACTAATACACTTTTTACAAGTTTCCTACTAACATAGTTTTATATAATCCTTATGAAATATTAATTTATTCATTGGGTTAAACGGTTGTGTAAAATAATCTCCAGCAGTTGGCTGTATTTGCAACAGTTATACAGCATGCTTATCTGGACGATAACTTTCTTACTTTTAACCCATTTGTGCCCAAATATTTCTGAATGGTTTCATGCATATAGTCATGTTAATAGTGTCCTATGTGAACATGCTCTGCATTTATTTTCTTCTTGAAAATCGTATTTGAATGTACTATATAATGACCTATAGCTGCCGGTGGGCAAATATGTTGTATGCAGCCCTTCAATGTCAGAGAGCTTTTGGCATCTAACTCAAAATAGCAGCTCTCAACAGATCGATCTTTATTCATAAACAAATGTATCATGCATAAAAGTAGAAGAGCATTCGATGCAACCCCAAAAAGAGTTGCATCTAGCTTATAATCTCTTGAATATGAAAACACAGCAAATCCATTTGTCTTAAAGTTGCCCCAACAGCGTGTTGTGTATAAAAAAGATTTATTCCAGATCAAATTAAGGTCTACTGTACAGTAGAGATGTCAGTTAAAGGGTTAAGTTATGGTTTAGGTGGGATATTAAGAAAGCAAAAAAAGCACTAAACAAGGCTAATAACCTCGATGTATTAACAGTATTCCCCATGATATTTACTTACAAGTCATTTCCCCACCAGCAACTACAGCGGCCGCTTGGACTTTTGACTAAGTATACCAAAACCTATAAATCTCCTGTAAGATTTGTGGTGTTTGGATGATTCTAGAGACCTTCATGATTATGTAGATATACAGGTCAACAAAAAATACTTGGTAACATGAAAATTACACTTCTTTGGGAGTTTGCTTCGCCGTGCTTCCTGGAAGTAGGAACTTGACAGCATCATGTGACCGGAACAAAGTGAATACCTTTTTTTTTTTTTTTTCTTGAAATCCTTTATTTGGTTGTTTTCTTGCATGTCATTGAGAAATAAAACATGGATAACATCTAGAAAAATACTTGCACAAGGAAAATGACAACTATAAACTGCAGCCAGTGGGCTTGAATGTGTGTATATATATATGTTTAGTCATTAAGAATATAACACACTAAAGAAAAGCGCTCTCTAAATAGACACCATGGGTGGCTCTTAAAAGAGCCTTTGTGTTCCAGAAACAGACTAGAACGCGTCTACTTGGCTTTGGCGGGCTTCTCGCTCTTCTTGGGCAGCAGCACGGCCTGGATGTTGGGCAGCACGCCGCCCTGAGCGATGGTCACTCGGCCCAGGAGTTTGTTCAGCTCCTCATCATTGCGCACCGCCAGCTGCAGGTGACGGGGGATGATGCGGGTCTTCTTGTTGTCTCTGGCGGCGTTTCCAGCCAGCTCCAGGATCTCAGCGGTCAGGTACTCGAGCACAGCCGCCAGATAGACGGGAGCTCCGGCACCGACGCGCTGAGCGTAGTTACCTTTGCGGAGATGTCTGTGAACACGACCGACGGGGAACTGCAGTCCTGCTCTGGAGGAGCGACTCTTGGCCTTCGCTCTCGCCTTGCCGCCGGTTTTGCCTCTTCCACTCATTGTTGGTTATAAAAATTCCTACGTTTGTAAAGCAGAAATAATGAACATGTAAGCCCCGCTCTACTGTATTTAAAAGAGCGTGCGAGTCACCCATTGGTTTAGAGTCTGTAAGATTTCAAACCAATCACCGACCTTCCCTCCAACACTGACCGCCGAAGCCACGCCTCCTCAGCTGGCGGTCTGATTGTGTAGCGTTAAGAAACAACACGACAGAAAACGTTCAAGACCTTGTTACGGTGTGTTCAAGTATTTCAAAATAATTGTCAAGGCAAAAAGCATTAATAAATAATGTTTGTACGCTAATTAAATTAAGATCAACGATCCATTAAAGCTGTTATAATATACGTGAATAACTTTGTGGCTTTTCTAAATACAGTCAACATGTAAAACATTGAGTCGAGGTAAACTCTTCTGTTTTATCATGTTTTATTTGTACTATATTCTTCTAATTTTAGGCATACTCCGTCATCTGATGACACTGAACCTGTGGATCTAATCAAACAAAATAATGATCTGGACAACAGAAGAGAGGTTCAGCTTGTTGTTATATGGTGTGATTATTTTATTTCTTTAATTCAGTGTGGAGAAGACTGAGTTGATCACTGATTTCAGAAGACATAAGGGGCAGTAAAACCGGTGACAATCCATGCTCAGAAGATAGAAATAGTTCAGTCTTATAAATGTATTCATTGCTGTTATTTATTGTGTTGCCTGCAGTTTACAACGCTGCTGAATGAGTTGCTGATGGATTGTGTTGCTTTTAAAGTACAATTAGTTTTCTTAACCTAACCTTACTAACACAAAGTGAACTGCTCTTTCTTTAGTTAGTGGGTGGCTCTGAAAAGAGCCGTTGTGGAATAAAACAGTGTCTTTACTTCTTCTTGGGAGCTGCTCTTTTCGGCTTGGCAGCTTTAGGCTTCGCCGCCTTGGGTTTGGGGCTCTTGGTCTTTATGGGGCTCTTGGCTGCTTTCTTCGGCGCCGCGGGCTTCTTCGGCTTCTTGGGGCTCTTCTTCGTCGTCTTCTTCGCGGCTGCAGCGGCGGGTTTCTTGGCCT